GGTGCTGAACATGCTCAGAAACTGGGTGGGAGTCTCCTGGAGGGCTGGTGCAGTAACAAGCATCTTAGGTGATAGTCCTGCAACTGGAGCTACTGGTGGCTCCTCTGTAGTAGCTCGTGCGGGTGCTCTAGTTGCACCACGTGGATGTCCTCTGCCTCTACCCCGGCCTCGGCCTCTCGCGGCTCTAACAGGGGGCGCGGGTGTCTGATCATGTGATCCAGATTTACGAGTCCTCACCATCTGTGAGAGAATAGAAAAATAGAAATTTAGAATCAAAAATTTCGCACGATAAGGAATCAAAGAAGTGAAGCTTTTCCTAACAGTTCCATAGCCTCCCGAAAATAAGTACAGATGTCTCCGTACCGATCTGCGAGACTGTACTAAACCTACTTGTGACACGTAATGCCTATGAACCTAGAGCTTTGATACCAACTTGTCACGACCCCAATTTACCTCCGGAGGATGTCGTGACGTCACCTAGTCTCTAAGAATAGGTAAGCCTAACAATTTTGCGGAATAACTGAATATAAAGCTGAAACTCAAACCTCATCATCTGAAATAAATAAAAATTGCGATTCAAAAAAATTATAACTCCCAAACCCCGGTAGAAATTGTCACAAGCTCTAAAGGAAAATGCTAAATATCTCTATACATTAGAGTCTAATAAGAATATAGAAAATAACATAATAAAGATAGAGGGGGCTCTGATGTCTGCGGATGCTGGCAGATATACCTTGAAGTCTCCACGCACGGGCTAGCTCACTAATACCTGGTCTGGTAGGAAGAACCTGGATCTACAAAAAAAGATGTGCAGAAGAGTAGAATGAGTACACCACAACGGTACCCAATAAGTGCCAAGCCTAACCTCGGTAGAGTAGTGGCGATGTCAGGTTAGGGACCTACTAAAAATAATAGGAAAACAAGGTAGAAGATAAAATGATGTAATGAAATGATAGAGATGTGTAACACTAGAAATTCATAAAAGATAACAACACGGAATCAAGGAATACAATTAGAACGCGTAAAGAAGCACAATCTTACAAGTTAATGAACAACAACAACAATGCAACAAATAGAGGTAAACAACAAGGGGCACTCCTGAGGTACCGCCTCGTAGTCCAAAAAGTAAATATCTCACAACAGCATGGCAGAAACCTCATGCAAACAATGATAATTGCACGACAGAAACCTCGTGGCCCAATAACACTCTGCTCGGCAGAAACCTCATGCCACAATAACACTCCGCACTATAGAAACCTCGTGCCATAATAACACTCTGCATGGCAGAAACCTCATGCCACAATAACACTCTGCATGGCAGAAACTCATGCCACAACCAATTAGTTATCTCAACAAAAATCACGAAAATAACACATAACAAATGGAACAATGTAGTTACAGTGAGGAATCCTGCAGTTAAAGAATGAATATGAAATCAAAGGAAGTAGGTAATTCAACTAAGTATGTTGCACAATTTTACAAGTAGGAGATGAGACACGTAGACATGTGACACTAGCCTAAACATGATGACTACACATGCTAGAGTAACTCAATTAAGGGAATAAAAAGGAACTATTTAGCAAAAAATGGATTTTCAATATTTAGCCCCAGTACGCACTCCTCACCTTACGTACACGGCCTTCACGTATTGCATATACTATAACAGTACCAAATCCTAAGGAAAATTTCCCCCCCACAAGGTTAGACAAGTCACTTACCTCAAATCTCGCTCAATCAATCAATAAGAATGCAATTGCCTCGACTTTCAGAATCTGAATGGCCCAAATCTAGCCAAAAGCAATTACATACTACAAATATAACTATGAAAAACTAATATAAATAATTAAACTATGACTTTATCAAGGAATTGAAAAATCACTCAAAATAGTCAACATGGGTTCACTTCTTGGAACCCGACCAAAATTATAAAATCCAAACACCCATTCTATATCGAGTCCAACCGTACAAGAATTATCCAAATCCGACCTCATTTGACCCCTCAAAACCCAAAAATTTGTTCTAAGACCTTTACGCCTTTTTCCCCAAATGTTTCAACCGAAAACTTCTTAGATGAAGAAACTAAAGATAGATTAGTGGAAATTAATCAAAAACGAGTCAAGAATCCTTACCCAATTGTTTACTCTAAAAATCCCCCAAACTCTTGCCTCAATCGGAGCTCTCAAAGTCCCAAACTGAAAATAAAACCAACCCCTCGACGTTTCCCTATTTCTGCCCAGTCAAACCACATCTGCGGTCCAAGAATCGCTTCTGCGATGCCGCACCTGTGGAAAAACAATCGCAGGTGCAGAAAACACTCAATTTCAGGGCTTAGGCTTTTGCAGATAAGGGCCTGTATCTGCAGATCCGCATCTACAGGACTAGGATTGCACCTGCGACCACTAGCGCTTCTGCGCCCCTTGCCATCGCAGAAGCGAAGTCGCTTTTGCAAAATATTTCCCACTTTTGCGACCACTGCTGAGCATGACCAAACTCGCTTTTGCAACCAAGAGCTCGCTTTTGCGAGCCTGCACCTGCGGTCAAACCCTCCGCAGCTGCGGAAATACAAGAACAGCCTAACATTCAGCAGATTTCACAAGTCTCAAATTGTTCCAATTTTAATTTGAATCACACTCGGGGCCCGTGGGACCCCGTCCGAATATACCAACAAGTCGTAAAACACATAAGGACCTGCTCGAGTCCATAAACCACATCAAACAAAGATAAAAATACGAATTGCGCATCGATTCAAGCCTAAAGAACTTTAGAACTTCTAACTTCTACATCTGTTGTCGAAACCTATCAAATCACGTCCGATTGACCTCAAATTTTGCACACAAGTCATACTTTATATTACGGACCTACCCTAACTTCCGGAATCGGAATCCGACCCCGATATCAAAATGTTCACTCCCGATCAAACTTACAAAAGGTCATCCAACTTTCCAACTTTCGCCAATTAACGCCGAAATGACCTACGGACCTCCAAATCAATATCCGGACACGCTCCTAAGACCAAAATCGCCTACGGAGCTATTAAAACCATTAAAACTCCATTCTGGAGTCGCCTTCACACAATTTGAACTACGGTCGACTCTTATGACTTTAACTTTCAATTTAGGGACTATGTGTCTCATTTCACTCCGAAACCAAAAACCAAACATCTCAGCTAGTCTCGTAACCACAGAATGAAATAGAGGGAGCAATAAATAAGGGTTCAGATCTAATCCTCTCAAAATAACCGGTCGGGTCTTTACATGGTGTAAAATGGATATTGTGATATTTCAAAGGCACCCTAGGTATGGCACTTTGTTTTAAAAGGAGCAATATTATCTTACAAGGTTTTGTTGATGCAAATTTAGGCGGCGATATGGATAGTCACAAAAGTACCACGGGCTACGGGTTCACCTTAAGTGGTACTGCTGTTAGCTGGATGTCCAGACTTCATAAAAGTGTTGCTCTATCTACCACTGAAGCAGAGTACATGGCAATCTTAGAAGCTGGAAAAGAGATGATTTGGCTCAAGAACTTTCTTAAAGAGCTAGGTAAAGAGCAGGACAATTGTGAGCTTTTCAGCGATAGCCAGAATGCAATTCATCTTGCCAAGAATCTAGTGTTTCATGCAAGATCGAAGCATATCCAGCTGAGGTATCATCACATCCGAGAGTTGATAAATGAAGGAACTATTTTCCTATAGAAGATATCAGGATCGAAGAACCCGTCAGACATGTTTACCAAAGTTATCGGTGTTGATAAATTAAGGCTGTGCACTGCCTCAGTTAGCCTTGAAGATTGATAATGTAAAGGCGCCACACCAAAGAATAGCAAACTATTTCTTTTCTTCCTTTATTGATGTATCATGGGTTTGAGGGGGAGATTGATGGGAACAAACCCCTTTCTTGGTAAAAGAAAGAAAGAAAAGTAAAAGCTGTAAAAGAAGACAGAGAGAAAAAGAGAAGAAAGAAAACGTGAAAAAAATTTGCGGCAACCTCTCTCACCCCAACAAATCAAAATTGGCAGGTTGCAAATGTGAAAGAAGAATTCGACGCACAATTTGCGGTGCCGTCTTCTTCGCATTCACATTCGGTGAAAAATTTCTTTCAGCAGACGTTCTGCCTATAAATAGGCATCCCCTCCTTCAGTTGTAAATCATCCTTCAACTTTTTCTTTCTCTTATTAATAAAGAACTATTCTTTGGTGTGGTCGTGGAGTAGGCAAAAATTGCCGAACCACGTAAATCTTGTCTTATCTTATCTCGTGCAATTTATTGCTTTTCTCTTTTAAATATTTTTTCCTTGATTAGCGTGACACGCTTCCTAATACACCACCTCCTTTCTTATTCTCATAAGTTCTAATTTTTCACTCGGTCACTCTTTCTCATGTGCTAAATATCTGAGTTTGCAGTTCTCTCCCACCCACCTCCCTTCTTTCTGCAGGCACAAATGCAAGCAGTAAACTTAGCAGCAAATTCTTATTATATACCAGAATCCAGTTCCATTAGTTATTTGAACTTTGGTGCCGCTGTCAGTGAGGTAAACTTGTGTTTTCTGTTGCTTTTTCTGGTTTGACTATCCATGTCTTTGGTAGCGTTCCCTGCTTCAGTCTGTTTCAATGATTATCGATTTTCGGTATGTTTGAGTGCACAACACTTGGCTGGAAACTCTGATTGTGGATAATTTTGCGGAATAACATTCTTATGGATAAGTAATAGCAAAAGCTCTTTTTGCAGGTGGAGATAGATATTCTGACTGGAGAGACTACCATTTTGCGGTCGGATATTATTTACTACTGTGGGCAGAGCTTGAATCCAGCTGTCGATATGGGACAGGTTCATAACAGTCTTGCCTTTGTTGTATAATTTAGATTTTGCAGTTGGAATTTCTTATGTAATTGAGAGGTGCATGTTGCATTTGAGCTATTATTCAAACTGGTGACCAATCTATTCTTGATCGTAAGATATTATAAATAGTTTCAATTATTGCTTCTTTCCTCGCAGATTGAAGGAGCTTACGTACAAGGAATTGGATTTTTTATGCATGAAGAATATCTTACAAACGACGATGGGTTGATGGTCTCAAATAGCACTTGGACATACAAGATCCCAACAATCGACACCATACCCCAGAATTTCAACGTTCATTTGGTAAACAGTGGACATCACGAAAAACGTGTTCTCTCTTCCAAAGGTATTATTTCTTTTCCCTTCCCTTCTGTCAAGCAAGTTTACAAGTTCTTCGCTCGTTCATTTATATCTGCGAAAATCATGAAAAATTTTCTACTGATTCTTCACTTAGTTGAGAGGAAAATGTCGCAAACTCATTTCAAGATAGTATATCATATATGTATATTCATTAGTACAAATTGTTGAACCTAATATGATTAATTACTATTTTGCAGCATCTGGTGAACCACCACTGCTACTTGCAGCTTCAGTCCATTGTGCAACAAGAGCGGCTGTTAAAGCAGCAAGAGAACAACTCAAAGTTTGGGGCAAGCTCGACGAGTCTGCTTCAGAATTCTATCTGGATGTTCCTGCCATATTACCTGTTGTGAAGACGCAGTGTGGTCTAGATTATGTGGAGAAATACTTAGAAAGTTTACTGACTCAGAAATCTAACTAAATCGCGGAATATCACACAGTTGGAGACATTTTCTGTGGCCTGGATCACAAGGACAAGTGCTCATTATGTCTCAAATGATACTGAATACTTGTTTTTTCTTCAAATCTTCTTAAGAATTTGAACTGTTCTGTTTCCAAAAAGTGGATGATTAAAGTTTCTTTTGTTATTTTGTCTATAGCAACCTTAGTGTAAATTCAGATTGTAAAGCAGTAAAAATAATATTGTGTATTCAACTGAATTATAGTTGAAGAATAGAGAAATAAAGAGTTCTGTAGTAAATTTCATCTTTGGATCTAGTCGAATTTTTTACTGGAAACTTGTGATATCCTATTATTCAATTTTCTTATGGATTTCATATTTCATATATTGTTTATTTTTTGTTATTTAGACCAAACTTATGACCAACAATTCTCTCTTTTCATTCAAAAATTTCAAATTCGAGTCTTGAGAATGGAGTCACCTTTGGTAGGGTTGTGTTGGAACCAAAATACTTTAGAGATGAAATCCTTCATATTTTATTCAAGACCTATCATGTTAAATCATCGAGAATAAAAAACTAGATACGAAAGCGTACCTGAATCCATGAGAGACGATGGAATCCTTCGTCTTGCAAGTTATTGATCTTCCAAACCAAGACGTGGGTGCCTCTTAACTTTTCTAACGACGGGATATCAGAAAAGAAAACCCTACGCCTGATTTGGGGACCATAACCCATTTATAATTGTACATGTTTATGTAATTCTGATTTAGCCAATCATTAAATTAGAAGTTACATGCTGGTATCTATACATAAGACCCCATACTTTAGGAGGTATCTTATAGACCCGTTTAATTTTAAACCTTAGCAGATCACTTTTAATTGGGTCAACCTTTAACGATAACAACCAACATACAATTATTCTTAATACAAAATATATGTGCAAGTCCATAAACTCTTACAATCTCCCACTTGGACGACACATATATATGTACACATAACTTTATAATTGTATGTCACCTTATAAGCTCAAACATGTTTTCTATCATAAACCAAAGTACCTCCAAACAATCTCGTATATCAATCATGCCAATATGGACCAAGGCGGCTTTTGTTTTATTTATCATAACTAAACCTTCCCTGATCACGAATACCAATATAATCAAATGACATAGATCAAGTATGGATGTGTAGCATTGAAATTACATGCAATGTAATTCAAGCATGTTTATTTCCAACTGGTCCAACTGAAAAATAAGTCAGAGTGGAAAATAAACTGAATACTTTATTTCTGCAGAAATAACCTCAAATATCCTTAAACTGAAATCATTACCTGAAACCTAAAACTGAAACCAAATTGTGTCCATAAAGAATATTTAAGAGGTTACAAACTCCGACTGAAACTGAATATCCTTAAATGACATGACACCCTTATGAGCAATATGCTCATGAAAACCTTGGGTGGTAGTCCCTTAGTAAGTGGATCCACACCTATGGAATTTGTACTAATATATTCTATAAATACCTAATCACTCTGAACTCTTTCTTTAACAACCATGGATTTTATGTCAATGTGCTTTGACTTTTACCGAACTCCTATTGTTATTAGATTACAAAATTGCTAACTTATTGTCACAAAGTAACTCAAGTGTGCTTTCAAATTTATCCATAAACTTGCAGCCACTGACAAAATTCTGCAGTCATATTCCATAATCATATGCTACATAATATGTTATATATTAACTGCCATGGTGAAAAGAGCTATGAGTGTTTGTTTAATACTCTTCCTTATATAGCTCGTCCACCAAGTATGTCATATTATATCAACATCTAGTGAAGCCGATATTCGAATACCTGATTATCTTTAACTTTTTCGACTTCTTTTATGTGAGCATAAAATACTTGTTCTCTGTAATTATCTTTTGAATCTTTAAGTTGCTTTCAAAAGATAAGTTTTGAAATTATTTAAATATCTGCCCATCCCTAAATTAAATGAAATATTCAGATGCATACAAATCTATCATACATCAAACAATTAAAAAATATACTTACCCCCCACTAAACTTGTGGTATACATAATAATTAACAAGATTTATTTCAAAATAAAATGAGACAATAACTTGAAGAAATTAGCAATACTATTAATGAGACACTTTCTTAAGTCCATAGATGGTTTTCTTTATTGAAATTTATTCTTGAGGTTGAAAGGTTTGTTCTTTGGGAACTACTTCTTGAAAGACGGGTTTGAATGATATTGTCTTTGATCCAAATTTGCTTATTGAATTATGTCAGTTATAGAAAGTTATTCCTAAGCATTGACAATAATAATTAGAGGAATGTCAATATGTTCCTCTTCAAAGACAAAGTCCTTAACTCTCTCTCCTTCCACAAACTCAACATCCTCAAAAAACCTCACATTATTGGAAAAAGTAGCCTTAGTAGTGGGATAGAAATTGAGGGAATAGAAAATATTATTGGACAGAAGTGTCTTAAGTCTTCTTTAGAGATATGACCTAATCTCCCGTTCTATAAAGAAGATGTCTACTGGATGGTTAATTTACCCTTATTACTAGTTATGTTAACATACAAGGTTCATTGAACGAAGCAATCATATCAAGTAATATAGATTATTGTAACCTGATAAAGAACCTGGACCAACAAATTTTGAATAATGAAAGAGACTATTTTTTTTTATTTTCAAATAAATAAAAATAACCAAACTTATCTAATACAAAAATAGAAATCAAATACCATAAAAAATGGTGCAATATAAGTCTCATTCAAATTCAAATAAAATTGGTTCTTAATAATAATCCAAAAGTTTCAATTGCTTCGACTTCCACCGACTTGCCGTTACCATCGTAGATGTATCTTTTACCATCATTAGACTTTCGATAGTTCAGGAAACTCTTTCTCTTGTCCTTAGGCACAATGACTAAGTGAGCACTTTCTATCTTTTCTTGCTTCAGTCTATCCCCTTCCTAAACAGTATGTGAGATGAGCTCATCTAGAGACCAAGTCTCTTTCTGACAATTATAGCTCACCTTACACTAGATAAATTGTGGTGGAATGTATATCAAAATCAAATACACTAGCAAGTCCTCAGAAAGGTCCAACTTAAGTGCTTTCAACTTAGAAGAAAGATGAGACATTTGCATGATGTACTCCCTGATGGTACCTTTGCCTTGATACCTCATTAAAATCAGACTTGTCAAGACTATACCAATCTCAACATTTTTACTCTTGACAAATACTTTTTCAATTTCATCCATAAATTCTTTAGCCGTCTTAACCTTGTCGGATATAGTACCCCTGAATGTTTCTGGTATGGCTTTCTGTAACAACCTGGCCGATTATTTTGAGTATTACAGCTCCGTTCCCCTATTTATTACTCATTTTATACTTTACAAATATTATGTGACTTGCCGGAGTAATTGGTTCGGATCCGGTAAGGTTGCGGAATGAATTGAGACTCTTAGTCTCAAGGATGAAAACCTAAGTTGAAAGGGGTGGCCAGATGTTGACTTATGTGTAAAC